ACTGTGATGCAGGAGAAGTTTTGTCTCCTAACCCATTCTAACGCTGGGGAATATTTTTATACTCATTAAATAGTATATTGTTATGAAGAATTTAAAGTGTCGTGCCGCTGCTTCAGTCAACCCACATTTCTTTTATGAAAAAAGGAAAAAAACGAACTAAAAGATAACCTTTTGCATTTTTTAAAGACATAAATGATACATGACGAGATTAGAGAAATGTCAGTGGAGATCCTATTCAACAAATAATCGTCATATAAGAAATAAAATATGTATAAAAAAGATGTAGTGAAGTATTGAAAGGTTATATGACACCACAAAACACCTAGTGGTATGAGTTCCAATGATATACAAATTATAATAAAAAATATCGAAATTCAGAGGTTTTAAAAATCTTACACTGAAATGCAGCAAAAAATTATGCATCTTGAAGAAGCGAGTAGAAAACGACAACATTTCCTACTTGTAAAAATCTAAAAAACTTTAATGATACAAGACTACAGTACTGTGTGACCATGTTCATAGTGAACATATTATTACGATTGCCATTTTCCCATACCATATAAAGTACTTACATATCCGATTCGACAGCAAAGTTCGACAAAATAAGTACTGTAATGAGATAATAGTTTTGTGAGGACATTCTTAATGTTCTGTTGAGTAACGCCTTAGCTTCCCGGGTTTCTTTGATAGTCTTAGTGAGTTGTCAAATATTTGTTCAGTGTAAGATGACCAGTCCCAAGAATTACTGGTAGGGTCAAGAAGTCAATCGTCTTGTGTGTGAGGATAAAAATGATACTGACTGAAAGCATGAAGACTTGAACACACACACACACACATACACATCGTAGTAATGGAAGAAACCAAACACCTGGTACACACACAGAAATATTTGCTGAGGCTATATTCAATAATGACAGATGTAAAGAGATTTAAATACTAGTTCCGGCGATGAACATCTGTCGTGGCCGACGGAGTAATGCCCTTACAGGTGGCGATTATCACTCCGCCTGGGAATTAGCGTTCAAACACCTGTTACTAATTTGCATTAAAAATCTGTACTCCTGAACCCAGCAGATGGCGAGACGTGACCACAATTTTGGGATTCTACGATAACTTTCTCTTGTGTAATTGTGTCGTCTGTTCTTAAATGGGTCACCAACACACGTACGTTTGTCTCTGTATCTAGTACAAATATAAGTTGTTTGTTTGTTATGTTGGTAGTAGTGTACCCGTGTGAGCTCTGCCTGCACAAGTCTCATCATCACGGGAGGGTCTTGTACACGACCAAGATCTTTATCTGGTCTCTGTTGCATTTCTCCACGTTCTCTCAAGCACAGTGTGTGTTTGTGTGTGTGTGTGAGTGTGTGTGTGTGTGTGTGTGTGTGTGTGTGTGTGTGTGTGTGCAATTATATACAAGCTAAATAAGGATGATCGCCGATTAATTTGACTGAGCAGAATATCTTGTTCACGCCTAATTTACTGTGTATGAACTATATACAATCACTCTTGATGATGCAACTTTATAAACTATCAATTAAGTAAAACAAAGAATGGATTTGTGTTTTATAATATTTCAACTAAAGCAATAATATCACTAAGATATTTTGAGCAGCGCCAGTAGCTCTATACCCGACTTTTCACTGACAAAAAAACCTCACTAACTGAGAACGACAAGATAAGGGCATACGGGGAGAGAATTCAGAACGTTGATCAAGGCAGCTTCACTCCTCTAGTGTTCACAACCTCTGGTGGGATGGGACCAAGTGCAAGATGCTTCTACGCCAGACTCGCGGAGGTGATATCCGAACAGAAGCAGCAGCCCAGAAGTTATGTTACAGCCTGGATGAGATATCGACTGTCCTTCTCTCTCCTTTGGACGGCTTTGCTCTGCCTCAGGGAACGAGAGCATCGGCCCCAAAGCCGGCAACAGTTGCAGATATTGACTATGATGCTACAGTCACTGAATGCCTAATAGATCTGCGGCTCAACTAACTCAACACAGCTAGGATAGCGACTTATGTATTAGCATATTTAATATTAAGGTAATAAAATGGTGGCGAAGGTATGGCTATTAGGGGAGGCTGGAGGCCATTCTTTATGAAAATAAAAAAAGTAGTAGTAGTAGTGTATGTGAAATGTCAAGATGTATAATACCACCAATATGTTTACACCGTTTAGCGAGGGACCTTCCTCCTTTTCATGAATTTCATTTCGTTTCAATGTCATATTTTTTTAGTATCTTCTTTTTTTGTCAGCCCAGTTCTCGTCAACCTGCCTTAATGAAACACACAATATGCTCCTAAAAATCCATTCGGTCCGTGAGATTCTCTCTTAATTTGGTCCATACTTAGGCCGCTAAGAGAGGAAAATATTAACATTGTAGAAACATTATATCTCGCTTAAAATACATAAGGGTGGATTCAAATTTGATTTCCGGTATGATTCATATTTTCTCCGTCAATTTAACACTGTTTGCTTACACCAGTAGTGATTACCAGTCTGCCATGATGCAGTAAACCGTCCCAAACTCAGGAGGTTATAAAACAGCGTTTGTCTTTTGTTATTGGTACTTATCGAAAATTATTACTACACTCCTCATTATTATTATTATTATTATTATTATAATTATTATTATTATTATTATTATTATTATTATTATTATTATTATTATTATTATTAGTAGTAGTAGTAGTAGTAGTAGTAGTAGTATTATTATTATTATTATTATTATTATTATTATTATTATTATTATTATTATTATTATTATTATTATTATTATTATTATTATTATTATTATTATTATTATTATTATTATTAGTAGTAGTAGTAGTAGTAGTAGTAGTAGTGTAAAAATAATTATAATAAATTCTTTCAGTCATGGTTCTTATCCAAACTGGGCTCTCACACTTGAGTGCACAGGAATTCGTGTGTTGATCTTTTCCTTGGTAAGTAATTATATTCCCAATGCGTTCCTTTCTGCGAGATTATTGTTTCTACTAACCTCCTGGGCTATGTCTTCCTCAGTTTAATGGTTGCAACATTATTTCATAATTATCTCCTGTTAATAGAATCGATGGTAATAAGAGAGCATGTTGTATTGTCTTTGGCGTCTGTTCTGATGATTCCTCGTCTGTCTCTCTCTTATGGATTTCTTCATTGCTATCTTGCTCTTACCATATATTCTCCCTCTCTCGCTCTCTACCCTTCTCTTCCTCTCTTATCTCTCTAGTCATATATTTCGTAAAGGTTCCCTCCACCCATCCATATGACCCAGTATGCCAGTTCCGGTTTATCCTGTCGTCACTGCCCCGCCCTGACGCACCTGCTTCCTCCTACCTCAACTTTCTCCCTGAACCGTTAAGTGAGAGTGACCTATATATCTTCTTCACACGGCTGTCGCTAGATGGCAACACGTTATGGAGGGGTTGCTACCTCCCATAGCAGTCACTAGATGGCACTAGTGGTTGATGGCGCTTCTTCAGAAAGTCTCCACCAGATGGCAGCAGGTGATGACTAGTACTGCCCCGGCTTTATAACAGCAGTAGAAGAACGCAGCACTTCCCATAGGAGCCTCTTGATGTCAGTAGTGAACGAATGACGAACTATTAAGAGATGTTAGTTGACATAAGTAAATGAATTGGTCACTCATGTATTTAAAGTCTGTATGCACGTAGCCATTAAGTCTCATTTTTCTTTATTTTATCGTTTCTATGATTTTGCTCCTCTTTATCTGTAAGCCTTCTTTCCTGGATGAAATCTTCCCCATAAGTTTCTACAAGCTTGTAACTTGAATCTTCCCTCTCCCACAAATACATCGAAGCTTCGCAATTTCTACTATAATAGCTGGTCATTTTCTAGATGTTTTCTGACCTGGTGAGATCCAGTCGAGGATAAGATGAGATGCTCACTTATAACCATTTTCAACATATCGCCGTAAAGGAGCCGAGTTGGAGTAATAACTTGCATTGCCTTGTTTATGCTGACAGAACACACTATGTCCTGTATCAGTAAGGGGGGGGGGGCCCTTTTAATGATTTTATGGAAATTCTAATATATGGGCTATCTAGCTATGGGCAATTGCGGACTTGATATTTCATGTCGTCTCCCATGAATATTGGGGTTACGAAATTTCAAGTCCTTCCCTTAAGACAGACTGTGAACGTGTACGTGCAACAGGGAAGATCAAGCGTAGAACTTTTCTCATCTCTTCGCGTTATGTTATCAATGGTCATGAATGATCATCAGGGTCGCTAATTCGCTCCGCCCAGCTGTGAATGGGTATCCACTCTCACCTCTACTTTATTTCAATGCAAGACTCAGACATGAAATAAAAAAATTAATTCTGTGTGAAAGATATATTCCATATGAACAGTGACTAGAGCTCATGCGCCTGAGTTATCCATTAAGTAATCACTTCTTGTTTGATCAGCGGTATACTGTACGTAGATAAAAGACAATTTATAATTAATACACTTGCACTGTATAATGTTGCAATACTCAATATAACCTTTTTGTTTACCTTATATATCTATTATGAACCAGAATACTATCCTCAATTTACCGAACTCTTATTATTGATTAGGCTACGTTTATCCCAAAGGTGAAGCTCTTACATTAGTTTATGTTTCACTTTATGGATAACTTGCTAAGGTTTTGATTATTAATGGAAAATATATTCTTTGATAAACTGACTTAGATTATAATATACCAATGGAGAATTAAAAAAAAATCATGGTCTAGATCTGCATACAACGAGAGGTCGAAGGAGATATTCTGGAGTGACCTGTAGGAAGATAATTCACTTCCATGGACTCACCCAAAAAGTGTCCATTTACAGATTTAGACACACACACAATCTTATAACAACGTAATACACAACAGTGGTATGATATCACAGAATACATTATAACCACTGACTTCTGTTTCATTCTTCAGCAACAGTCACCCTTTGATCATGGAACACGTGGTCATCATTACAGGCTGAGGAAGACGCCGAGGAATATTGATTCATTTTTTTATTTGACGGACACAAATACAGTCACACAGCATCCGGTCTACTACTCCAGTAAAACAAATTTACGATTCATAGGAATTAATTATCTCCACTAGAAGTCTCTTAATTAAACCTTTAAGAATACTTCACAACATACTATTACATATTTACATTGTGAACACTAATGTAATCAGTCAATAAGTAATAAGCTTTATGAACGTGACATCGGAACTCAAGTATTTGTGTTACTAATATACTGCTAAAAGTATTAAAGAAAATCATAACTAGAAACATTTATTTGAACTCTTTTATTTGAAATTAATACGTGTGATATCTTTGTACAGTTTTATATAATCATTATCAGAAGAAAGAGCTGGCGAGATGTTCAACCAACCCTAAAAGTGCTTAAATATACGTAAAAAAATGTTCGTACTTTTTAAATACATTCTGTTTACTTTCACTGAGAACGTATACCAGAGTGTGCTTAATGGTAATTTTCGAAAGTATATTAACCAACTTAACAACATAATGTTTAATCTAGAGATGTCACTGATGTCAGACTCTCGGTTCTCGACCTATTTCCTTCACTGTCCTCATCATACTCGATGTCCGGCCCACCAAAGTAGCTGATGGGGTTGTTGAAGTTTCGTAGATTTTCTGACAGATACACAGGGTTCAGTTTCTTTCCCCTAGAGATATGACCTTTTTTAAGACGCCTTGAAACTTTCCTGTCCTTTCCCGTTGCTTCTTCTCTTTGTCCTTCCTCCTCCTCCTCCTCCTCATCATCATCATCATCATCTTCCTCATATTGTTCCTTACCCTCATTTTCCTCTTCTTGCTCTTTTTCTTCTTCTCCTTTTCTTATTTCTTTTGAAGTTAACTCGCTGTCTTCCCTGGAATCAAAATTGCTTTCGCCGGCTCTTGCACAGTCACTCTCTGTATCCATTTGAGAAGTGTCATCCGTCGTTCCATCCTCAGCAATAGTGTTGAGATGAGACATACCAGCAGAGAATTTTGAGTTTAACATGGAGGGCATCTTGTCTCCAGTACCACTCTCATCATCATCTTCGCTCTCATCTTGCTCGCTGATAGTATCCAGAGTCGGGGCGCTGTGAACGATGTCCGAATCTTCTCCTGACATTAACACCGGGTTTTCTAAGCAGACATCATCGTCCTGGATATAATTGAGGTAGGTTGGAGTACCTCCCTCCCCACTCTCGTCTCCATCACTCACTGGGGACCCCGCACGTCTATGACTCGTCTCGCCGTCGCTAGTGCTCCCACTAGTTAATGAGAGCTGATTCACAAGGGACCAATCTCCATCTAATATGTCTTCAGGTTCAGTGCGCTGCTCGGTAGGAAACTCGACATCACCCGCAAGGATAATGTCGTCTCTCTCGTCCATCGTTTCTCTTTTGTCTTCTTTTGTTTCATCATTATTACCCTTATGTTCACATTTACCGATTTCGTCCAAATTTGTTCTTCCAGTTTCATGGTCTTTTATGCATTGCATCCTTTCACTATCCTCTTTCTCGCTTCTATTTATTTCAGAGTCTCCAATTCCTGTTTCTTTCATTACAAATTCCTCTCTATCATCAGTTTTCTCCTCAATTTCACTTTCCATCTCTTTCGTCTCTGCTTCATTCTCTTCGGTAATATCTTCCATATAACTTTCTCTTTTATCTTCCATAGATTCATACTGTTCTCGCTTTTCTTTATTTATATCATTATCTTCAATTTCGGGAATCTCCACGTAATTCCCGGGAGTCTTCACGTCATTCCAAGATATATCTTCACTAGTTTTCTCCTCGTTGTCGTCATCATCGCTATGTTCTCGCTGTTCCTCTGAAGTGCTGATAATTATTATCGGGGTCGGCAGTAGAGACATGTCCTCCTCTTCTGCTGGCACTCTTTCTCTATCTTTTTCCCTCGAATACATTTCTTTCTTGCTATTTTCCTCTTCCTGCTTCATAAAGTCCGATTCCTCTCTTCCATTTTCGCCGTCTACCGTGTTCTTAACCTCCTCTCGTGTTTTACTTTCATTTTCTGTAACGTCATTCGGGTTTTCTTTATCAATTTGTTCTTCCTTATCTTTATCTTCTTTGTTTTTCTCCATCTTCGCACTTGTCACTTCACCTTCCTCCAAGCTCAGGTTGTCGGACTGAGCTGGTTTGTGATCATCGAATTGTTGGAACGTCTGCCAAGAGAGGTGAGGCAAGGTCACAAGGGGTTCATCAGACAGGTCACCATTGAGCTGTGTTATTAGTAAGGCTGCAATAAGAGAAGGGGAACACAGTTAGGACACACACATGCAGCGACACACTACAAAACACTTATGGTTAATAACATAATTACATTGACAGTGCACACATAGATGTACTGATGAGTTCGCCCAGATGTTTATGACAATTAGTTGAAACTGATCTACCCATCATGGAATATAAAACCTGCTATCGGTGGTATGGCCTTGTTTGAACTATCGTGTTCCTCAGATTAAGGTTTGTGTCCATTTGTGTCTAACTTAAAACTTTAACTTTGTTCACTTTTTTGCATTTATTATTTTAGACTTGTTCTGTCAATCAGTCAAATAGACATTTATTTTTGACCTGACTTTGTTTTTATTGATATTATTGTTTATGGTTCAAACAATGATCAAGTCTATATTTCATTATTATGGATATACACAAGTAACTACCGAAGAGTTCTATCCCTTTCGGCTCTCCTCTGAGGAGGGATGTTCCGACACGTAGACTGATCGAATGCAACAACTAAACACTCAAGATATTTGTGAGTCCCCGAATGTTACTCCTGTTACTCTTTATCATATATATATAAATAAATAAGTAAATAAGTAAATATATATATATATATATATATATATATATATATATATATATATATATATATATATATATATATATATATATATTTAAATGTGTACATAGAACATATAAAAGATGACAATAAATAGATATATAGTCTCTTCATTAGTAAAGCCAATATAGATGTGTCACAAATAGCAGCAAAAAGGAAATTATTAAATAATCATAAGAAGCTGTTACAGTAATGAGCAGCTGAGATACAGACTCACAAGTGGTTACTTTGTTGCATATGTATTTCACTCCCTGATGCATTCAACTTGCCTCTTCACCCAGTCTATTGAATCATATAAGAAGTTATAATATCATGCTAAGTAACACTAAAATCAATCATAGATTGCAATGTGTAATAGTACACAGTGAGCGGCACACACAAACAGCACCGTGACTAACAAATTCACAACATATGATATGTCAACATAAAGCCAGAATAGTCACTTCTGGCGTGTGGACGAGAAGAAAAAGGTAAACAATTAAGACAAAAATTACACCCACATTTAAACAAACAACAGAAACAAATCTAACAAGACAGTGTGACTCAGGTGACGGTGGAGGGAGGCTCAGCTGTTGATTCAGGTCCAAGGGAAATAAGAAACGTCTCAGATGTTTTGTTAGATTTATTTCCGATGTTGGAAAGAGATGAAAACCACGTGAGGCCATTAGGTATGTGTTTCACGAGTCCAGCTCAGAAACTTCGCTCATTAGGTAGTGTGAAGTTACCTCCTGGTTCAGATGGTTTTACATCAAGAAAGACTAACGGAGAATTGTCATGGGCACCAACAGTTCAAGACTACTATATGGATGATCATGTGAGTTAATAACGCTTTGACTAACAGAATGATGTCAGGGACACAACTTGCACATGAACAGTAACAGCGTACAGTGTAAGTGATGATAAGCAACGTATAAAATTTCATAACATTAGGAACAAAAACAGACTTTCCATGACAGAACAGCAAACATAAAGCTAAACTGACAAAATTAATCATAGATATTGATAATCTTAATAGAAGATAAATAAAAATATGAATTTGCAGGAAAGAACATAAATTCTAATTTAAAAGTATATATGTATGTCATTAGCCCAATAAAGAACGCAGACTTCTACATACAATCAACACCTCAACCCGCCAGGATTCGAACCCACGGCCCACGAGCCCATGACTGTGACCGGGGAACGCTACCCCTGGACCACCAGAATCCTGGTGGTCCAGGGGTAGCGTCCCCGAGTGGATTGAGGTGTTAATTAAAAAAAAAAAAAAAAAAAAAAATATATATATATATATATATATATATATATATATATATATATATATATATATATATATATATAATTTTTAGTTCATATAACACACGAACTTGAACATATAATAAACAACCTCACCAGGTAGGACTCGAACCCTAGACCTTATGCATGTGACTAGGGAACACTACCAACCATGCCACAAGTACACTTTAAGAAAGCCTAGACTTTGTTATATTTCACACAAAACCTGTTCATCGAGCTGATGGTGCCGTGAACCTTCCAATAGGGATTGCCCATTGGTAGGTTCATGGCGCCATCAGCTCGATGAACAGGCTTTGTATGAAATAGAACAAAGTCTAGGCTTGCTTTTAGTGTCCTTGTGGCATGGTTGGTAGCGTTCCCTGGTCACATGCATAAGGTCTAGGGTTCGAGCCCTGGCTGGTGAGGTCGTTGATTAAATATATATATATATGAATGAAACAATCATATCGTTATTAAAATGATTAGTAATTAATGTTAGACTTTAGTGTTAATGTTATTTTAGTAAACACATTTACAAAGTCTGTATGGAAACAGCTAGTGACATTTTGATGGCCAGTCAATCATAGCCAGTCATATAAATAAAGATAATTTAAAAGATCCTAGCACAGAAGCACTGAAGTGTTTGAGACAAGACATGAACATGGAATGATAAGTACATATGATAACTTCTAACTTTCAGTTGTAATGTTTTTGCTTGGGAGGCAGAGCAGGGGGGCTAGAGACCTTCTTGGTGAGGTAATACTTCTGAATATCGATACGTTGCTCTGGTTCTTCTTGTTTACTCGCCTCAGGCTGAAAGGACAAATGCTTAGTACCTTCAGAGTCCACTAGAGAGGGACTACTTACAGGCTGGTGTGATGTTACCTTCGAGGTCATCCTTCGTGCGGCGTGGACATCATCTCGCTCTGGCCGCAGTTCAATAAATTCATCTTCGTCTTCGTCGTCTTCGGGTTCGCTTGTCACCTGTTCGGGCGTTTCTAGCTCACTGTCAATCTTCGTTTCTTGGTCTGAAGATTTTGGCGATTCTGAAGAACCTGATAAATTTTCTGGTTCAACCTCTGTATCACCTTTAGCGTCAGTAGTTACTTCCTCTGGTAGTTTCTCCTCTGCATTGACTTTCATCTCCTCTTCGGGGGAGGAGGATGTCGGGTCAGGGGTTTGGTCAATTTGTGGTTCGCTCTCGCCTTTTACCTCTGGTTCAGATTCTTCTTTGTCCTCCAGTTGTTCGTGATCTGCATCGTCATCTTTTTCTGTTATGTGGCCTGCTTCTTCTCGTAAATGATCTTCCCTGATCTCCAGCTGATCTTCTTCCTTATCTTGTGACTGTTCATCTTCTTTATCTTGTGACTGAGCTTCTCCGATCTCCAGCTGACCGTCTTCCTTATTTTGTGACTGATCTTCTCTGGTCTCCAGCTGATCTTCTTCCTTATCTTGTGACTGATCATCTTCTTTATCTTGTGACTGATCTTCTCTGATCTCCAGCTGATCTTCTTCCTTATCTTGTGACTGATCATCTTCTTTATCTTGTGACAGAGCTTCTCCGATCTCCAGATGATCGTCTTCCTTATCTTGTGACTGATCCTCTCTGATCTCCAGCTGATCTTCTTCCTGATCTTGTGACTGAACATCTTCTTTATTTTGTGACTGAGCTTCTCCGATCTCCAGCTGACCGTCTTCCTTATTTTGTGACTGACCTTCTCTGATCTCCAACTGATCATCTTCCTTATTTTGTGACTGATCATCTCCGATCTCCAGCTGATTATCTATTGGAATTTCTGACTGATCCTCGTTAACTTGTGATGGACTACTAGTTTCCTCTTCCAACTGATTACTTACTTCCGACTGATCGCTGCTGACTTGACGCTCTGGTTCTTCTTCCCTCACAGCTTCCGAGAGATCTTCCTCTTTCTCCTCAGTCTGGCTTTCTGATTCTTCCGACTGAAGTTCAGGCTGACTCTCAGTTATTTCCAGCTGGTCTTCTTCACCTGCATCAGCTTCAGGTTGATATTTATCGTCGTCTGCTGTGATGTCTTGCTGTGCCTCCATCACAGTTTCAGGAGGGTCGTCTTTCATTTCAAATTCACCTTGAACAGCGAGAGCTTCGTCAACATCTTCCTCAATTTCGACAACCTCGTCTTCGGAGCCAGATTTACTATCAGCTTCCACTTGTGTCTGATCATCCGTCTCCTCTTCACCATCACCTGTTACTTGTCCATCGTCTTTCTCTTTGACCTCGTCATCAACCACCTCAATATCCTCCTCCGTCTCATCTCTCACAATCCTCTGGACTTCCTCGTCACCCAGTTGGGGATATCTTTTGTCTGGTATATGTTCTTCTTTAGGTGGCACCTCTGACATGTCCTCACGAGCAGTCTCAAGCCTCTGTAAGTCTACCTCCTTCTTTCCCACTGCTTCGTCTCCGGTCGCTAGCAGACGGTAGCTCAGCATCATCGGTTCACCATCAGATTCCTCGTCGGTAGGGGCGTCTTCGTCGATGAAGAGCATGCTGTTGGATCCCGTGTGGACCTTAGTGGATGACGGTGATCCCTCCTCCAGGACTGGATGTCTCTGGAAAAACAATATATATATATATATATATATATGTATATAAGATTCTTGTGAACTTATTATGGTAAATACGTAAACGTAATATATGTGAACGTGCTTAAAATGTGGAAATGTATGTATATCCGTCATGTGAACCTGTACGTTTCTGCTTGGGATTACGCCTCTTTGTTTGTTTAATGGTGGGTGTACAAATATGTACAATTTAATTTTGGGGGAAAATTTTAAAAACAAAGAGAGAGAGAGAGAGAGAGAGAGAGATAGACGGATTGAGCATTAATATCTGAATTTATCTGTTATTACATGAATAATTACACAAATATTCAATCGTAAATACAGGCAAACATACAAAAAAAAACACACAAACAGAAACACACACCAACAAGGATACATAAAACACACAGAGTTTTACCTTTCATAATGTTTTAATTGCTGATGTAACAGTGTAAGCGTCTATACACGAGTTCTCAGTACGTATAAAAAACATCTATAAACTATACACACAGACATATATGTTCATAAATATCACACATATACAGAAAAACACTTTGATAGACAGACGCATACATATCCAAACACCATACACATACTGTACAAACAAAAACACACACACACACACACACACACACACACACACACACACACACACACAAAAGACTCACACACACACACACACACACACACAAAAGACTCACACTGTAAAAAAAATCAATAAACAAAACATTTATAAAAGAAAATTACGGGTTTTGCCTTTTTTTTCTGGTATGAACTACACTATTGTTCTTATACACATACAGGGTTTTATTGTAGGGGATGGTGGTGATGGGGTGGGGTGGGGGGGGGGGCGATCAAAGAGAGACCACTGAACAAGCCTTAGGTAAGAGTCGGAAGTAACCTCTTAAGATCTCATATACTGTACATTTCACCTAACAAACTGAATCTTATAGAGGGTACCTTACCTCTCTCTCGGGTCTGTTTCACATATCTGTTGACATAGTATTTCCGTCGTATGTTCCTTGATTTGTAAAAGATGATGTTCCTATTTTCTTTGATTTATAAGTGATAGCGCGTCCCGTGATCGTCTACTTTACAGATAAAATTTTCTCAAGTTTGCTTACTTGAAAACGATATTTGATACTTGATCGGTTACCTACTTTTAGTATTTTATTACATGCTTGAATAATTAAAGGGAGTTTTATATCAAGGGTTCTTTTCCTTCTAAAAAAATGATATATTACGTCATTCTGAACATTTTCTGGGACTAGTACTGTATGTACGTAATTGGCATGACTCTTGACACCATTCAATACTCTCGGGTTGTTTGCTTCTGCCAATAACACGTAATTTGGTTTTGTGTGACCCTATTGTCATAGAACACCCAAGCCTTGACGATAACCTGCATAAAAATATTGGTTATTCAAACAAATGAATTATAACTTCCATTTATTAAAGATTAAATAAAAAGAAAAATCACATTTTATTACTGAACACAGAATTAAAACATTGAAATCAAACAGTAACATAGACATTCATTTGATCGAACATTAACATAGATATTCAATTGATAATACAATCACTTTGTGGAATCAGTGTCATGTAATAGTGACGTATTGTGGCTGGAATTATATATATATATATATATATATATATATATATATATATAGAACAACAATTAATTAGTATAACGGCTGACTGTCTCAATCAACTGGACAATATAGAGCTGTCGATAACAAAACCAGCATAAAGAAGGAAAGGGGAGTGAATTGAAGGTTTAGAGAACACAGATATATATATATATATATATATATATATATATATATATATATATATATATAAGTAAATCACTGTAGGTGCGCGTGATCTAGGTATATGCTGATAACCACAAGGAAAGAAGAAAACACAGAAGTTCCCAAGCGCTTTCGTGTAATTCACATCTTCAGGGGTGAGTACAGACTCACCCTGAAGATGTAATTATTATATATATATATATATATATATATATATATATATATATATATATATATATATATATATATATATATATATATATAGAGAGAGAGAGAGAGAGAGAGAGAGAGAGAGAGAGAGAGAGAGAGAGATATGAATAGAATCTACTCATTTCCTATTCTCTCTTTCTCTCTTTACAGATAGACAGAAAGACAGACAGGGAAACAGAAAGAAAGAAGCTGGTTTTGTCACGGCACAATCATCATGTTTCCCACATTGTCACATTTACTGTATTATAAGGTTAGGTTGTATTAGAACATCGTATTGAAGCAGTGGATCAGTTAATGCAGTTAGTGAAGGCTTTAGGATTGGCGTTTACTTTAATATATCGAAATGAAAATCACAGCCCGAGAAACTGGTTTTTGATTGGCGAAATAATAATAATAATAATAATAATAATAATAATAATAATAATAATAATAATAATAATAATAATAATAATAATAATAATAATAATAATAATAATAATAATAATACTAATAATAATAATAATAATAATAATAAAGTATACTAATTGTAATACTAATACTAATCTCAGTTAATCATCAATGTTAAAATTTTATCACAGTATTAATGTTAACTGCCATAGAAAGCAATTAGCGGGAAGCTCAGTAGAATAAATCAGCAAGTTACCTTTTTCATAAAAGTTTAATTCAAAGTCAGGCGCGGTATTAGGTCTTACGTACAGGTAAAAGGTAATAATTATTTTGTTGTCTTGCAAGTTTCCGTCATCCGAAAGCAAAAGTATTACTGTCGGTTTTTCTGTGTATGTAGTTATGTAAATTGTGTGCATGTTCGTGTGTCTGTATGTGAATGTAATGAGCGTGTGTGTACATGTGAGTACGTGTTTGAGCGCACGTGTGTGTATATGAAGATGGAAGATACCAAGAGGCGTTGATGATGTGAATATAGAGTAGGCACTTCTACGTGTAATAAAGTTACTTCAGAAGCACCGTACTCCGTGAACAAGAACATGGCTTCAGTGTTCATCTTCGCCCAAACAACATCAACCACCAAGCTTGCTGTAATGTCACCTTGATATTTGACTTCGGTATCTAACACTGGCAACAATCATTCCTGGTTTTATTCTTAACCATAAATCTCACTAAGTTGATAATGTCACCAACGAGCTAATCTTCCCCACGAGGCAGTTATAATGTTATCTCCCTTCTGTCATCATGAAAGGCCTGTGTAACTCCTTTCATGTTTCGTACTCCTTCTACCCAAATTTTATCGAGATTCATCACCACTGGACAGTTACGGGTGGTGACATCATTCTGTAGAAAGATGCTGGGTGAAAGATATAGATCAACACACACACACACACACACACACACACACACACACACTTAATGATCATAACACTTATCATTATTCTTTCTCGGCAAGTACACTGGGAACTATTCTTTGGCGTCTAGTCAATTACAAAAATATAAACACCTGGAGAACCATTATTATTTAGATTAAGCAAATGCCGTCGTACTATATCTATTTTGTCAGTGCTGTTTACACTCATGTCATTAAAGCTTGAGAGATCAATATGTTGTAAAATTTTAAGAAATGACATCATTGAACTAGGTGTGAGTAGAGACGGGGATTCCCCTTCTACATTTTCGACCAAAATGACTGTCAGTTGATAATAATAACTACTGCCTACCATTTCTTCTGGTCTTCAACGGCTCTCTGCTATTTTATCTAACTTTTATTCAGTCCTCCCCGTCTGCTTCACTGACGCCTTTGGAGAGATGAGATTCACTTGGTCCGAGGACCTCTGGAGGTTCATTAAATATATCAATTCCTTGAATGTCTTCTGGGAAATCAGTGGACTGTTCCATTAACTGATTGTCAGAAATGTCTGATATACTTAAGCTGTCCGTCCCGCTACCCAGCAGTTCCTCCACACTAGGAACGAGGCTAATGTCTATTGCTCGGTGTAAAGCATCACGGATGATACTATCGCTAAAAGAAGATAAACTATAACTGTCACTGACAGTTACGGTGTCTTCCTCTTGCCTTAACACCTCCACACTCTCCCCGTCAACATCCTTTACAGTACCTCCGTCACCACCCTCAGTCATTTCATCTTCCAGGGGTGTACCGTTGCCTGGACACCTACACTCCTCGCTATCAAACGGACTATACTTCTCCCTGACTAGTACTACCCCTTCATCTTCCGCTTCCTTGTCTCCATACGGTTCCTCGTCATCCTGGTGACCACAAGACGGAGAAGATGCCCCGATGAAGCCGGAGGTCAAGAGAGCCCTTACCGATTTTTTGGGGGACGTAGGACTAGAGGTGGGCGAGTCGTTGATGTCTATGACGCAGTCTATGCTGCTCTCCGAGCTAGTGTCTCCTGTAGGCTGACCCTGAACGTGGGGTCAAAGAGGAATCACAGTTCATAACCGTAATCCTGATAAGCACTGGGGAAGGGTGTCACTTTCTTTGCAATAATTTAAATTACCATGCAGATATGTAGGTGAGAAAGCCTGTATATTTCCTCATATGTATAAATAGATAATACGCATTGATATGGGATCAGAATAGACAGTATGAGACATGAGGAAATAAGAGCAAAAAGAAATTAAATAAACATGTTAGAGAAAAACAACAGGAAGAGAGAGAGAGAGAGAGAGAGAGAGAGAGTGAGAGAGAGAGAGCCACTTTAGCCCACCTGGCTGCCGATGATAAGTGGCAGATTATCAACAGATTTGTCCCAAGAGAGAGGTCGCTCTCCGTTGTCCGCGCCATCCTCAGACTTGCCGACTTTACGCACCTGCACACCGTTGAGTGGCTCCTGCTTGGTGGCAACCTCGGGCTTCTGCTCCACCTCCTCTGGGGTCTCCCTCAACGGCACTTCCTCCAGTTTGATACCAACATCCTTGACGGGTTCTTCCTTGACAGCTACAGTGGAACAGACAATTGACTATTTACATTAACTCTCTTTCAATTACTGCCTTAATTAATACCATTTGGCATTCTTGGAAAAGGGCATGAAGATATATATTGTTCTTTTTAGGATTACTTTTACATTTCTTATATTATTAGAAAGATGGAAAGGAGAGATTAATTTATAAATGTTTTTAATTATATTTCGGCAAAGGTGAATGAATTCCTTGATTCTACCAGTGACAAAAATAACACTAATTAGAATCCTTCCTTCAATATTTAAGAATGTAGACCAAAACAGCCTACCTTGATTAACTCCATCAGACGCAGCTTTCAGCGATACCATCTCTGTTTGTGTGGAAACTTTTGTTCTCTGTCGATAAGAAACAACTATTATAAATCACTAGAAATGTCGGTGTGTAAGTAACATGGGTATGACATAGTTGATGGTTGTGTAAATGTTCGTAAAAAAATGGTTTATGGTGATTCGTATCTGACATATATCATAATTCTGGTAAGTCCATCTTGACCACTGGGAGATGAATGACATTGTTTTACCACATTTAAACAATTATTATAAGATATATGATTTTAGTTTCTTTGTAATTACTTAAAATTAACTCTGACACTAATATCATTTACTTTGATATTGAGTCTGAATAATTAATTTTTTGTTTAAAGTAAAAATTTAGGGATTTTCATTCACTCTAGCTATGTAGAGTGGTTACAGTACTAGAGGTAATATTTTACTTCTTATATTAATACCAAACTTTGATATAATGTAATTTGTAATTTTCTAAACGTAGTGATGTTCACATTCATTTTTTACATTGTTAAGAAAAAATAGAATTAACTCTTAAATTACAACCTTTGCAGTTCTGTTACCCGCTGCCACGACCACTGTAACCCACCTACAACTACCAAGCTACCGTAAGACACACATTATTATATCAACACCACACCCGTCCTAAGATTAAGACCCCCCTATGTCAACATCTTCACACGAGTCCTAAGATTCCCCATGTCAACACAACAACACGTGCCCTATAAAGACTCCAATAGTTCATCACCACGCCAATCCCAAGACTCCCCCAGGCCAACACCACGCGATCCCTAAGACTCCCACAGTTCTTCACTACTCCAACCCTAAAACTCCCTAAAGTTCAACACCAACTAAGTCTGGGGATGAATTCTCAAATATTCGTTCCAATAACTGTTCCTCGTATCTGGGAACGTCTCAACATAATAAAAAAGCAACATAAGGATAAAATCATGTGTGACTAAAGTGAGTCAATGTTGCACGATTGTTCTCCAGTAACCACATCAAGGCTAAGGGGAAAAACGAATAAGGGAAGTGGAAGTTCTCTGAGGAGTCCTTACCCTGCTGCCGTTGAATAGTGGTTGTTGCTCCTCCAGGTCCATCTGATGCGCCTTAGTTTTCTTCCTCTTTTGGTGTGACCTCAGGAGCAGCACAAAGATGAGGATGGCGGTGAGAAGGAAGATGGTCCCTGAGACGGCCGGAACCACTGTCAGGAGGAACGAACGGGCATTAAAGTATCGGGTCTAGGATAAGTCACACACACACACACACACACATGCATGCACGCACGCTCACGCGCACACGCACACGCGCACAAACACACACACACTATTGGAGGGTCAAGATGTACTACCTGGTGCTGCTAAGGTTAAAGATGTTGGCCCTATTCCTAGCTCCCTCTCCTCAACCCTTTGTCTCCACCGGGATATATCAGCATACTCCCTCAAGATACCAGTGGCAAAAGTAAACAATTTCGTTTCAGAAAGAAGTGTAAGACGTGTTGAACAGTGATGAACAATGTTGAACTAAACCTAACACCATAAAAATCAGAGCTAAACAGTAATAGCCGAGGGTCGGGAAATGTTGACCTTCACAACACCAGCTGACAGTAAGCGAGGTACTTGACACTACATGGTGTCCCCATGACACCATATGACACCACCTGCGAACGAGGTGTTTGCTGCTCGACCCATTGTATATTCACTTCATGTTCCTTTTTTTCTTCTTTTAATGAAAGGTTTTGTTAAACGACCCACTCCCCAATGTCACTGTACATAATAAATCAAATAAATAATGTTTGTCCATTGTTTATGTTCAGCCTTTTGCCTGATGCCCCTTTTCCATTAAAACATTAATTAATACTATAGCAAAAATACAATAAGTCCAATACCCTACGACCATGAATTAACAGGAATAATTATTAGAATAGTTAAACCAGATACTCACCGTCGTCCATGCGCGTGTCCCTCTCTGGGTGAGAGGGGGCCACGTAATCCACATCGTAGGTGAACCTCTGAGCCATCCTGAACGCCCACTCGGGACCCATCACCTGTACCAGCCCCGAGACAACGGTGAAAACCCAAAAAATCTCTCTCTCTCTCTCTCTCGCTATATATATATATATATATATATATATATATATATATATATATATATATATATATATATATATATATATATATATATATATATATATATATATATATATATATAGAGAGAGAGAGAGAGAGAGAGAGAGAGAGAGAGAGAGAGAGAGAGAGAGAGCAGAGCTTATGCAATATGGCCTGAGAACTTTGTTTGTTGACATATTATACAAGTAAATCACAACTGAGCTTTAATGTATTACATTGTATTATTCTAAACCAGAGGAATAAGTTCTCTGAAGAATATCAATTGGAGGGATAAGTATTAGTATCATCATACATTTGATAAGTTAAAAAAATCATATTTCATCCTTATTCATTAATACAATTGATAAAAGTGTCATGAAATATTCCAATAACTCTTTGTACTCGACAATACTACACATAAAAGTGATATAGTTTTAGGTTATTAGTGATACCCTCCTCACTATAATGCCAACAGCTGAGACTACACAGTTTATTGCCCCAGGAGAAGGATGGTGACTTACCGCCGAGGTGTTGAGGTTGTTGCTGTAGGTCATGCGAATACTGGGGGCACCCACACCTGCAAACCCTGCACAAGAGCCCAGACCGGGGATACCGTAATTCTTGAAGTGCATGTCGTTCTCTTTGTACAGCTTGAGAATCTGAGCCTCGCCGTCAGGACTCAGAACTTTCACGTCTAATAGAAACAAGCAGGCGGTGGACAGAGTGTTATAGGGTTATGTAAGTTATCTTTGGACTGTGTTACAAAAATATTGAACTGGAACTTCAATTAATTACACAAAAATCTGAGAATGTAACGAATTGGATATAAATACTATAATCTTGATACATTCTAATTCTACCCGTGGTGTCAATTATAACATTAACTCATGTTTCAAAACGTGTATAGGTGTCTAACTCACTGGAGATACAGCCATGGAAACTATCGTATTGGCCGAGGCGGTCGTCGACGCCAGCTTCCACCCCGCCAAGATAGAGGCCGGTGGGCGTGGTCTTGACACCTGTCTCGCTCACGTAGATGTTCTTAAGTGGCAATATTTGGTGCTCCTTCCTGTCAACCTACGACACACGCACAAGTACACACACGCACACACTTAGATCACATCTTCCATATTTGGTGAGATGGTTTATGGTACAGAGAAAATAACAGATTTTTCATGATACAGGTATAATGAGGAAATAACATTGTATAATTGAACAAAGAATAATAATATTCACATGTCTTACAAACAAAATTTTCTCTCTTTGATTAACACATTGTTACAAAGCAGAGCCGAACTGTTAGGAAGGATTTTATTTAGAATTAATTTCTGTCCAGCATTTTTTTCTTTCCTTACCTTCAGCGTCATCCCACTGTCCGTTTTCTCCACGATCACATAGTGCCTGTAGCCGTCAAAGGCACTAAAATCGTGGTCTGGCGAGATATCCTTGGCACCGAGAACCATTTCTTGATTTAGGTCCGACAACTGCGCCTCTACCAGGAGGGACCCGTCACGCTCAATTGCCACCAGCAAGTAGTCGTGAGCCGTGCTGGGGAAGTGGCAAATGTTGGTTACCTTAACGCTAATGTGAGGTGAAGTGACTACCAGGGTACCAGAGATAAAATCGTAGGATTACCTCTCAGTGCTGTGGTCAGACATGAGATAATTAGTGAAGACCTGTAATATGATAAACTTCCAAAAATATTCAGCTTTTTGTGACAAAGGACATCTTGGTTATGTGTCCATGTTATGCGCCTTTCTACCTGGGCAGTTGTTCCTCCACCATCTTAATCTTTTTTTAATGTGATTCTCGTCCCGCAAACAGAAAAGTTAGTGCGGTCATATGTCTTTACCAATGTTTATTGCGCCGCAGTAGTGTTACCGTTTACCGCTATGTTGGCCCCAACCTATAACATGTAGTTTAATTTTCTGCTCTATTATTAGTCTATGCTGCAAGATTCCCTGCACTGTATTCCTAATTATTACACATAATTGGAATTCATCATGTACTGTACAATGCTGTACCTTTAGATTTAACTGTATATATTACTTACTCAACGTCAGTGGACCTGAGGAGGGCAACTAGCTGAGGGTTTGAGTGTCTCTTGGAGGAGGAGAAGGCCAGCTCGAACCTGAAGTTTTCCTTGATGGGTGAGGTAGTTGAGTCCTTGCTGATCCACTGTCGTCCAGAAAACGTGTACCCGATCTCTGTCAGCCCAGAAATATTTTACACTGTGTCGGCACAACTTAGTACTGTATAGTGAAAGTGATAAGTGTACCATCGCCTTGACTCATGTTAATGTCACGAAATATAACTTATTTGTATGAAGATACTTCAGAATGCAATGAAAATATGATGATTTGCGATTATGTCTGGTCATTACTGTCAAGAATAAAGTAGAATTCTAAATAAGTAATTTTTTCACCTTGTATGGCAAATGGGAGGGAACAAATTGGTTAAGATCTACAAATTCTTTAATTTTTTAATTGAACTATATTCTACTGTAGTAATTACTGAGTGTATGACGTATTGTACTCGTCCTTCTATAAGTGTTCTGACTAAACGCTAAACCTTTCATTAAATGCTAAATCGTTTCCCATTTTGAACCTCATCAGTTTTTCCCATACAATATTACCAGTGTCTAGTTATTATCCCTATTATCCCTTCCATCTCCTCCTTGGTCTTCCCTTCTACCTCCTAACTTCCATTCCTGAGTCATATACTCTTTTAACCCCATCCTTAAGCAGACCCCTCATCGACTCTCTGCCAGACTTACTCCCATTACACTAGATGCACTACATATAAACTGACTTGTCATGGCTAAGCCTTACCTACCCGACTGATAAATCAATCTACTTTCCCCTTCCCAAAAAATCTTTAGTTGCCGTCAGATGTCTCACCCAATCCAAAAATGTAAGGGTATACATGTAGTAGCTAAAACAACTATCTGTGCATACTTTGTGGGAAACAATATGAGACCATGGACGATAAATTTTGGTATATGAGGGCTGTCACTAGTCACACGTAAAATTTCGGAGCATATCGACCCCCACCTGCATAGATAGTTGTTTTAGCTACAGTACCTTCCGTCCAAGTATCAAATGTCGCAACTATATTTGAAGTCAATATATTTAATGATTACCAGACGAAATAACAGCATCGGTATTGTTAAGGACGCCCAGGGGATGCGGTACTCACCAGTAGCACAAGTAGGTCCTGAGTACGAGGTGTCGGCACAGTCACAGTGGAAGTTGTTGTAGAATTGGAAGTCCTCGGTACAGAAGCCACCGTTGAGGCAGGGACGGAGGTCGCAGGCCATCGAACAGTTAACCTTGATGTCGTCCACTACAGCCCATCATCACAAGTAATACGAATGATTATGGTGTTAGTCAGATTGTTTCGTCATTTTGAAAAGATATGAATGAATGTTAAATACTCAATTAGTGGAGTTGATATTAACATTTAAAGTATGTTATACCTTGATAACGGAATACAAGGGATGTATAACCTTTTTCTTTTTTAAACTCTGTACTAAGATAGCATAGAGGGATGAAAGGTATATTCAACATAACTTTTCTCATGACATCTAGATTGGTGAGGTGCGTGTTGTGTCACTGGTATAACCAACAATTAAGATGATCTTTATAGACTAATAACAGAAAGCAAACCAATGAAAGACAATGAATTAGGAGACCATTTGGGGGGAAAACGTACTGTACTTTACTTGCTCCATGAAAGTTTGCTAAATATGTTGGTTAAATCAATTATATTATTGGGGTTGTAGTTGTGTGTTTATAACCGGTTTAGTTATTAAACACATCGCCCTGTAACATTTAATCTTTTACATTAGATTATTGAAAGTCATTCATTTGGTTTAGGTTGATGGAGATCATTGGGCAAGATCAATTTATCTCTGAGGACGAACTGCGTATCATGTAACACTCAAAGATGTTACCATTGACGCATATGATTTTAATTATCTCTAACAAGTAAACAAAAAAGAGTAATCCGGGTGTATAAGAAGTGTGTGAATGTTATTTTGAGATTAAATATATATATCAAATTACATTCTCCAATTAACATTACCTCCGAGAAGACCACAATAACATATTATTTAAGAATTGCGAGATATTATATTATCAACAATATTTGTATATGAAAATCGGAGCTTTTTACTCCGCGTTACGAGGCTTACATCTCCCGAGGCGTGATTCACTCTACGGGAAACACGGTTATGAAGGTGAGTCTTCGTAAACACTCACCTGGGAAACTAGATTTAGAGATCAGTTTGGTGAGGGAAACGGGTCTGGATCCGATCTGGAGTCCTCTGATGCAGCCCACCAAGCCAGGGATGACAGACGTAACATCATGCTGCTTGTCAGTGGCTGAACCCATGTATGCCTGCAGAAGATAGGGAGACGTGTAATATTAATAAGTAGTAGATACTAACGAGTAAGGTTTAATCTGTATCACTATAATTGTTCATTTTAATCAAGTCCCCAATATCCTATTTTTCATCAGAATAGACGTGTCTTCGTCTCTTTTATTACTGTCTTTAATCAATTTTATTCTTTCTTTCATTACTTATCATTCGAGAATTACACTTTTAGGACCGAATATCTTCTTCACCTTCACTATTACCAAAAGCTGATAGGGAAAAATGTCCTTGTCATTCTTCTTTTCACTCATCCTTTTCTACCTCAAGAAAACTGACTCATATACTTGTCTTTAGGAAGAAACAACAAGTTTTGTTTTTCACCTGGAAGAAAGGCTTAGGCTTGGTGACGGAGTGTGGGTAGTACACTATCTCATGCAGTGGTCGACTCTCGCCGAAGGGGAACTGGTTATATTCATCCTCGTGCAGGAGCAACAAACCAGCGTCCAGGGAGACGTTAAAGAAAACTCCGTTAGTGAAGACTCGGAGACTAGTGGAGGCGAAGGATCGCTCGACTGAAACCTGCACCGACTGACCCTTGGTGAACACCACTGCAGAGTATAACATGGTCTTGTCAAGTAACAACTAGGATTGCGAACTCTTAATACTGCTAACTGTGAAACAAATATATCCAAATTTCATATACTGTACCTTTAACTCGAGGTCTTAGGCAGTCAGTTAATGAGAGCATGATTGTACAAAAACTACTCTAATCTATTGCAATGGAAATATATTCACCCTGATTTAAGTTAAAGAAAATATGCATTCTGTGAACTAGAACAATAGTGATTTGGGGTAAATTACAAAGATTTTGGCGTTGAGACTTTTGGGTGACAGCACAAAGTTCTGTAAATTTGAGTACTGTAACATTCAGTAATAATGTATAAAATACCTGACCAAATTTCAAGGTTTTTATGTATATGTGACCTTTTAAGGATTTTGTGCACTAATGAATGAAACAATAAATTTCAATTATTATACATATTATATACCTAATAATACGTTATCTATGTAACATATATAAGGCTGCCGGGAGCCTTAGTTATGTATCCCGGACACTCACCACCAGCATCAGCCGTCACCACAAGCTTATGGACGTCGTGGCCGCTGTTGAAGATTAAAACTACCTCGTTCTCTGCGGCCAGGTACAGCTGGACGAAGTTATGCAGGTAATCATAGGCGAAGAGGATGAGTCCCTTGTTGATGTGGGTTCGGAAATTGATGAGGAAGCTTTCGTTGAGTAGGTTGTGCTCCCCGAGGCTCTCTGTGTCGTTAACGAAATACTTGAACTTGGAGACCTCCGTGATGAAGGTGATGGCATTCTCGTTGATGTCTGCCAGTAACAGAGTATTCTTAATTTACATACTGTAGGGAACTCTTAGCTTATATTTCAATGATTGAAGAAAATATTGGACATGTAAATGGAAAAATATGGAAAAAAGGTACCTAATTAGCATATTTCAGCATCATTAATATTGCATACCTTGTTCAGTTACACTATCAGCGCTGTAAAAAGTCTATCAGAACTCGAATGGATGACAGCTGAGCTATGACATTTATTAGCAGCTAAATCGAAAATAAAAGACAGATGAAGATCTAATATTCAAATTTCTAACACGAAAACGTTGAAAGGTTTGTTTTGGTTAATTAATGTCGAGCGCGCGCGCATGCACACACACAAACGCCTTCCCTTTTCCTTGATTCACTTTCTTATTTCCTAACAGCCTGTCTCCTCTCCTCTCCCCCACACCCTTATATCCTCAAGAACCGTACCATTCTCTTTCGCATGACTCTCATAAGTATTCTCTCGTTAATCTAAGAGAATTTATACTTACTATTTTCGCAGTTCTTCCCAGAGTGTGCGAGAGGATTCTTACAGATGCACTCATAGGTTCCCCATTTTTCGATACAGGAGGCCCCGTTCTTACAGGGGTTGGGGTCACAGGAGGGTGTACAACCGTAAGTGACGCCATGGGCAGACACCCTGATGAACGGCTTTAGGTCTATAACCTCGTCGTTGAGAGTGAGTCCACGGATACAGCCCACTAGACCCTCTAGTCCCTCCTGTTTATCTTCGTCCGTCAGTAGTTCTCTGAAGAGGAAACTCATTAATAGTAAGATACACAAATTATTGTAAACTCTCGTTTATATCAAGCAGGTGTCTCAGAATGATGTGCAACAGAAGGGTATTTTCTTGTATGTCATGTACAGCACAGTACTACATATTCGAAGAATTGCGATTATAAATTAAACACTTAAATTAAGATGTAATCCATGCACGGTTTATACTGATGCATCATACATCTCGATAAATTAGCCTACTTACGGAGGAATAGCTCCAAGGTACATAGTTCCGTCGAGAACTCCAAGACGGGTGTCTTGGTCGATGTCGATAACTTCCTCGTCAGAGTTGACGGCAAGACGCAGCTGGTGGTCGTGGATATCGATGAGGATCTGCTGCCAGCTGCCGGTGTTGAGATGGCGGCTGGTGGACAGGCGGTGACGGTATGTCTCTTCCCGGAAAGTGTACGTGAGCTCTACCACTTTATCTGCGACAGATGAAACATAATATTTGATTTCATCGGTGATAAGATCAGAATCAGAATCAACACAAATCAGAGTAACCAGAGCTCAACACTTGGATTTGTTGCAAACAAACGTTTACAGCTGTAGGGATATTTACCAAACATGACTTTCAGTTGCAATGAACCTCTTTTCATTTATATTCTTGTTATAAACACTATCTTATTAGTCCTTTTCCGCTAACTCAACAAAGTAGCCACTACTTTGTTGAGTTAGCGGAAAGGGACTAATCACACTAAGAGAAGGGGACCTAGACCAAGGTTCAAGATGTTTACCTCCAGTGAGAGCGATCTTGAAGGAAGCGTGGGCGGGGTGGTAAGCTGGTTGGTAGGCGATTACCGCTTTCTTAGTCGTAGTCTTGAAGCTTAGGAAAAGGCTTCCCTCGCGCCACGCAGGAACCTCTAGGTAGCCGCCGGGCTTCGTAAAGCTTACCGTCTGATCTGCTGAAGCTGCACAGGGAAAGGGAATAGGGAAAATGCATCTTTTGTTACAAGAAAAAACGAAGACTGGATACAGGGGAAAAAACTTTGTATTGTAAAGAATAATAAAAAGTAATAATAAAAAATCAGGAAAATGAAACTGTTAAACTACGACTTGGTTACATTCACAACATATCATGCTAGAGTCTTATACACATACTGCTGCCACATGGCGCCTCACAGTCCTACTTATCACTATTAAAAATATACGACCTAAGACTCTTCGCCTCATTAAAGCCATTCTTTCACTTTTTCCTCACTTCAACACCATGTCCTAAGATCCGTTCCTTCACTTCTTTACCTATACATGTAGTCATTCTGCTCATGAAATAAGGTCCATCCTCCTCCTTTCAATCCCAGTTGCAACGCGCCATTTGTGTCACCCTTACTGTTTGTAAATTATCTTTACTTGATTTTAACATGTGACAATATATCATACCCTACCCTACCCTACCCTACCCTATCTCGCCTCTCCTTCCACTTACAACTCTTTAAATATAGGGCGTACACTCAATTCTTATTACATAGCAAAATTATGAATTTCCATGATTCTTGTTCAAGGTACAACTGGCAAGCCGAGCTTAAATATAGATAATTTTCTCCGTTATATTGTCATTCAAAAGGTAATCTGCCCTGTGTCCATCACACAAGGGTTAGAAAAAAATGATGGACCCTCAGCGTCAGAACACACCTTCCTTGATGCACTTTAGAGGACCCAGAGTAATTAAGCCTTCAGTGTCCTCCTTCTCTCGCGGGTCTTGCAGGAACACCATGGAGGTGATGGGCAGATGTTCCGGGTCCCTGAGCGTGCCTTTGTCCGTCCTGGGGAGGCCGTCTCCTATATCACAGTTGCACATCACGTCCAGCTCGTCACATGAATTCGCTTCTACGAAACATAAGAAGATCGAGTTGTCAACATTTTACCAAAAGTTCTACAGACCATCCCATGATAGTTAGCTCAAAGGAGCCTTAGAAGTCTAATGATATACTGCACTTCTACTTAAGATGCGTTAAAGTATCATTTTATATATTAGTGGTTCGATCATATAAGTGATGATGAATACATACAGTACACTCAAATTATTAAGCTTAGAGCGAATACAAGATTTCCAGAGCTGAGGACATATAACTTAGGATTTATCTAAGTGCATTATGTAAGGACAGTATACAGTATAAGGATCGACAACATACAGATGTTTGTAGGGAAGAAAAGGTTGTAGTGTGATAGGTTCAAAAGCGCAGAGATTATTTCCTTACGAAGCAGAAGTTATATAGTTGTGTAAAGTTAGATGGCTGCCAATCCTTTGATATGAAGAAGACACCTTGGTTAATTGATTGGCGAGTATTCATCAGTCCTGATTAACTTATCACTGCAACTGTGAAACTAATTACAGAAATAATACAATAGAAATTTAGCTCCTACCAGTACTGACCTCCGCACCTGCACAGTCCGGGAACCTTTGCGCCGAAGTTGGTGATGAAATCCTTCGATGGAGAAGACAACCAGGTCCTGCTGTAGAGACGGAGGGGCGACCTTCGGCAATCATACCTTACCTAAGAAAACCATCACACTCCTTTTAACAACACGTTTTACGAACTTTTGTACTGATATAATAATTTTAGATTGAAACATGTACAGTGCAGTACTAAGGTACTGCGTAATATCTAACCTACCGTTATTTATAGCCTTTAAAGAAGTATTGTTCTTCATGATTGTTCTTATTCTAGAATGATTTGTACACAAGACTAAAAGGCCAGGGATACAAAATGACATTATTAATCCTTTTATAAACACCAGATGTCAAACTGTGTTCATATGAATTACTTAAAATATAGTCAACAGGTTATTCATCCTGCATGTTAATTCAATGTCACATGTTCACCTCCAGCCGTGATATGCTAAAATGAACCAGAGTGACACAGAGACAAGGAGTGGTGTTGTTACAATCCTGTCGCTTCACGTGTACTATAATAGTGTGTGTGTGTGTGTGTGAGTGTGTGTGTGTGTGAGCTACGAACCTTTTGTGTGCAGGAGTTGGACTGGCTGATAAGTGACTTGAACATATTGGGTGCGAAGTCTCTGTACTGGATCTGTACCTGCACGTTGTCCACATGTGGTCTCCGCACCTCCTGCAGGAGAACCTCATACTGTCATCATAACACAACCTTACTCTAAAGCTTTTGTTATAATAGTAACAAAATTTCCCCGAGCTTCCATAAATGAAAGATCAGTTGTTTAAAATTTTAAGCTAGTTATCATTATTATCACTTTTTTGCATTATGGTTCAGTGTATAATGTTTACAAAAAAAATACACAAAATTAAAGATTGAAGATGCAAAAAATATACAGAAAGCTTACATTTTAAATAAACCGCAGGGCATCAATTAGTCGAATTTTTAGTATTTTTCGATTTTAAAGAATGTTTATATTAATCATAGAGAGTATTGGTGATCAAAAGTTCAACAAGAAATGTGATTTTACTATTATTCGGCATCTGGTCGCCTTGCTGATTTTATTCAAAGGATAAAATGATTAAAAATGTTCCCAAGCAGCCAGGTGATGCGCTGTGACCTGTGGTGGAGCAAGTTATCTCACCACAACACATATTGCCAACATGATGACCTCGCTTGACAATCTGAGGCCTGTTGTTCCAGAGTGACTGACCGTGTGTGAGACCCAGCGAACAGTGGTGTAATGGTTTTGATCACAGAATAACCGACCTTAATATGAGTATCATATTTGTGACACTTCAGTGATAAAATTAAAAAAATAATGCGGTCATAGGAAATTTACACACTTAAGTATGTTCGCCCTTCCCTCACGTTATAAGGTCCCAACTTCGCAGCGTCTCTTCTTCTCGCCCAGCAGGTTACACAGGGTTTGGCTGTCGTGCGTTTTACTCCAAAATCTTCAGAACCCAAGACCTTGAATGCCATTTTATAGCTCATGGAAACTAAGTCTGTCAAATGTCGCCAGATATTGTATAAACTACTTTATTTGTATAAATGAGAACTAAAGGATAACCTCCAGTACTCACGTAGTTCTCAGGGAGGTTGTGCTCCACTATCGTTACTGTCTCTCCTGTGAACTCGCTGAAACGACACTTAACGTAGGCAGCCGGCAGAGGACCATTCCCATCCACGTCGATCTTGTAGATGCCAGAGTTGGTGTAGCCGATCTGGCGGTATTGCTCGCACGATCTTTTGTACAGCGCTGAGAGAAGACATACAAGGCGGATATGTGTTTAAAATATCAAAGAACCGGGAAGTTTATACGGAGAAATCGTTGCAAATGGATATCCTTTGGTAATAAATAACAGGTACATATGGTAACAGTATCCTAAATGTGGTCTCTTATACCCAGATGTAACAGAAATGTGACCAAACTACTTTTCTCTATCATTTACAAAGAGTAATGTAATCATTTAGACTCATCAAGACCAGAGACAATCGTGTTGAAAATGTTTTTAACCAATGTTTTGACTTACGGTGTACTACACTTGATTAGTAACATGTTAACCATGATAGTTTGAGTACAGTACACCCCGAAAGTACTTTAATTTAAGGAATGGGCCTTTAGAAAGTCTATAAAATTAATCCTCCTTCAGTACCCTGTACATCCTACAATAGAACTTGTAAAAATGGCATGCACAATACTAGCATTCTCAGTAAACTAAGTACAGAACTTACAGAAGTGACACCTCTTGCCCGTGTAGCCAGTGCCAGAACAGTCACACTGGACGTCGTCATCCACCACAGTGCAGGAGGCACCATGTTCACAAGACCCCGGCCTCTCGCACGGACCCAACACCTGTACAGGAGAACAACTTTATGAGATACTAACGACATAAATTTAATTGAAAAAATATTTAGAATTATTGCCGAAGGAATTTGGTTATGTTCAGTGTATAATGAACAGTAATGCCAATACAAGTAAATAATCACCTTTACATTGCCATGTTGTGTTCCTATATCATAATTCGTTTATTTTATATCCGCAAGAAAATTTTATATACAGGAGAACTTTACACTCAGGAATATTTTGCACGTCCGGGGTCAAACCATCCAGCCTGTCGAAAGGAAACTGACCTGACAGTTGTCGAAGGTGACGTCTTTGTCGACGAGCGTTGTGCCCACCACAGATCGGAGATCCACCTTCTCCCCGCCCACCTCCAACTTACGGAGACATCCGATGAAACCTAAGAAATACATGAACTTATTGAGCTTTGAATAAATTAGTAAAAAAACAAAAACAGAATTTCATAAAAGATGAGAGGAAGAGATACAGAAACACCTAAGTGATAACTACTGAATTTTCATAGTAGTTAAATTTAAGTTAAAATAGTTTTCACTTGACTCTACTCCAAACACTTTTTGGGAACGGGGCTCTCTTTTAGTACTTCTCTAAACACTTAATATGAAAGGAGTTCTCACCTCCCAACACTCTTCCAAACGCCTCCTGGAGACTATTCACAACGTTTAAAAGAAACATTGGTTCCCACATCATTCTCTTACAAACATTTCTTTGGGACAGAAACTTCCTCTGGTACTCCTTAAAACGATTAAAAGGAAGAGTTCTCACCTGGGAAGGCATCAAGTATTGGGGCTCCGATGGTCAAGCGAGAAGAGAAGGCGAGAGGTCCCGGAGGCTTGGTAGATTTTGTGTCCTGGTTGACTCGCATGGTGACGCGGTTGTTCTCATACCGCACGTCCACCTGCACGAACAAAGTGACACGTCATGAAGAATTATGATCGTAACAATAATTAGGGGAACCAGCAATAAACGCCACAAATACTTCTGAACAACTGAACAAACCTCAGAAATGCCTAGGGTCATGACTATTTTCGGAGCAGTTCCCGAGAAGCACAAGTTACATACTCAACAGGTAGACTCAAGTGAGGAACTTAATCATAGTAATGGAGAGCTGAACAACTGATCTAACTAAACAAAATGCTGCATCCCCTCCCTAGCTCCGTTAAGGGAAGGTACAGTGAAATATAAATAACTGGAAAAAAACAAAACCTTTTTTTTTCAGTTTACAAAAACTAACAAAAAAAGATAATCATAACATTTCAGGACGTCTGTGGTCCTTCGTGACTTCCATGACGCCCCGTGACATATGTGACACTGTAATATCAGTGACACATTAATAATTCTCAGTGTTGATCAGCCTTTTGAGGGTTTCGTAATGACCAGCAGGTAAAGAACATCATGAAAGTATTGCCACTCACACATGATTTATTGTATATTCTGGATAAAATCAATACTACTACTACTACTTCTGCTACTACTACTACTAATGCGGATAGTAATTTAGGAACTAACAAAGAAAAGTCAGATACTCACATATTGCCAATGGCCAATCTTGATCTTATCCTTGGGCCTCAGGTGGACAAGGTTGTCATGCACAAAGAAGAATACGTGATGCTCGTCGTGACGGAGCTGTGGGAGGTGCGGGGCAGAACAGCGTTAAACGTCGGCTTCTAGGTGTTGTGCGATAAAATCCATCTTATTTTAATCTCACCTAACCCGACAAGATACTCGGATTTTTGGAAACATTAGTTAGTGAGATGTGGTTTACTTATTACTTTCCCATGGACTCTGAGATATACGTCAACGTCTTAAACAATGATAGATATGTCGACACGCAGAATCAGGAAAGTTTTTATTTTTTATTTCAATACATTATCAACAACTAAAACGTATAAATACCGAGTAAAAATAAATCTTAGTTCTTTATTGCCAGATTTTGCCAAACACTGTCTTAAGACGCTCAAGCTGCACGACAAACATTCATGATGTGAACAGTGAAAGTGGGTCCCGTGGGCATGCCTGCCTGTTAGGGACAATGTGGATACAAGTACACTGTATAGATCTTCGGTACACAAGGAAACCGCATGGCCGATACAGCAATCGATCACCTTCATTTCCCCAACATTGAGTGGATTGGCAGTGCCCCGGGATCGAACTAGCGCCCCTGAGAATAGGAGGCGAGCGCTATGTCCACTCGTCCATTGCACAGAATGTTTTAGATGTATTTCAACATATTATCATACGAGATTAGGCAGTTTTAGTGCATTCCTGTACCTCATGGCAACCTAACGACCCGCTACCCACCTCCCACATGGTTTTGGTGTCGAGAACGTCCACGTGACCAGAGGCTAGGACACCATGTGACCTGACGGGCCTGAAGGACACGATGATGCGGAAGTTGGTAGGATTGGGGTTGGTAAGGTTAATGCTGGCTTTCTCCGTCGACAGTGTTACCTGCACCATCCCGTTCTGCAAGGTGAGGAGAGGACAGTGATGTAAAGCTGGTGAAGTGAAGACTGATGTGAGGCTGGTGAGGTAAGGGTAGTGATGTAAAGATGGTGAAGTGAGGATAGTAATGAGTAGATATTGGGTTAAATTATTATGATAGTAGAGGTGTTGATGAGAAATGAAACAGATAAAGTTGTTTCAGAAGACAAAAGTGATCCAGTGAAATAGACAAGGAAATTCAATGGTTATCAAACTCAAGGAAGATAATATATTTTTTTATTGACTAGAAAAACTTTTTAGAGAGTGTTTTAAACTAGAAGTATTTGAGATTGTTACGTGGAGACATATTCTAGCGTGTGTTGTGTGGTGTTACTGAAAGACCAGAGACAGAGACACCCTTAAAAAATTGTGTTGACTGGGTCTGAGTGAATCAAAACATAGCTGACACAGGCGTAATCAAAGATATCTTAGCTACATAAGGGGGAAGACAATCTGTGATCTATTCCAAAGTTTGAAATGGTGAATATATTGTGGTGTGGGAAGAGGGATGAGGGTGGATGGATATTTAAAATGACTCTTCAATAAATACTCTACATAAGAAGAGTTGAGAGGAAAGAGACTTACCAAGCAAAGTGTGTCTTCTGAGAAACATCTTTGGGGAAAAAAATCTTAAATTTTCTTCATAATGCAAACACTAGGACTGACAAAATTAATTAATATTAAAGTAAAAGGTTAAAGCAAAATTATAATTTGGCTTTTTCATATTCTAGTATTAGAATTTTACGAGTACACGAAATCAATCAAGGTGTTGCAGCATATTAAAGGAATTCTAAATTTTAATGCATTGACCACTATCTTGGTAGGTACTGATTGATGTCATTCTGGACTCATTTATTATTATATTAAATTTCTCCTCCAGTACATCTGTTTCCATGCATTCTTTCCCACCTTCCCTCTTTCTGGGTCCTTTAGGTGACCCAGGAGTCTTACCTCATTGCAGGTGCTGGAAACAGGTGGGTTCTGCGTCACGCCGAAGTAACGCGTGGTTTTGTTGCCCTCCCTCAGCTGATTCAGGATGCTGATGTCGTTGAAGAAGACTTTCCTCATACACCCCAGGAAGGTGTTGAGAGACCTGAGACCTGGGGAATAGGGTGAGGAGGTCAAATAGGTATCAACAGGTATCAACAGGTATCAACAGGTATCAACAGGTATCAGCAGATTTGATTAAGTGTCAAAAGGTATTATTGGTGTATTGATCACTTGTCTAAAGTTGGCAAAGATTTCATGACGCATTATTAGTCAGTAAATGTAGAAGGTATATGAAAAATACTTAGGGAATAGTGGTATATAAAGGGATGGTGAGAGTACAGGGGGATGGTGAGAGTACAGGGGGATGGTGAGATGTGACAGAGGGGTGAGTACAGGGGGATGGTGAGGGTACAGGGGGATGGTGAGGGTACAGGGGGATGGTGAGGGTACAGGGGGATGGTGAACATGGCAGGCCGGTCCTGTCGAGAGTTACTACCGCTCTCTATCATCCATGAATCTATCCAGCCTCCCTTTGAAACTTTCCAGCGTTCCGGCACTTACTACAAAGTTGCTAAGCTTGTGCCACTCGTCCACCACCCTATTTGTAAACCAGTTCCTTCCTATCTCCCTCCTAAACCTAAACTTATCCAACTTGACTCCGTTGTTCCGAGTCCTATCCTGCTCGGATATTATAAGAACTTTATCTATATCACCTTTATTGATTCCTTTCACCCATTTAAATACTTCTATCATATCTCCCCGCACTCTTCGTCTTTCTAAGCCTTCAGTACACACGGTGGTAGCGTGGCCAGCGCTGCTCTAAACCACCTTCGCTTTCGCAAGTTGCAAGGCCGGATACCCATTTACGTTGGGTGGATTGGGAATGATACGGGATCAAACCACCGGCCCTTTGGACAAGAGGAGAGCGCTGTACCCCCTCAGCAGCCTTCGTCAAACACCGTCAGCCTCACCTGGTGTGTAGCAGGCGTCCATGCAGGAGCAGTGGCCGGAGAAGTTATTGTCGTTGCCGCCGCAGCCGGTGTAGTTGAAGGGTAAACAGGAGGCAGAGGGAACGTCGTAGTAGTAGCGTTTGAGCTGATCGTGACACGCCTTGCCCTCATGGTGGCCTCTGTCTACTGCTAGTCCGCACTCTGTTGACCACACAGTGTTTACTTCACGTTAGTAGTTACATTTATTATGATAACCTTATGCTTTACAAACCAAGACACAACCACACAGTATGTAACACTGAAATTCAACTGTACGAGAAAATAAAGCACAGAAAAACAAGGGCACTGAAAATTTAGACTTCAACCTGCAGTCCTCCTCAGCTGAGTGGGAAAAACATTCAACACATTACGCACAAAATAAAGGAAAACTTGAGGAGTTGCATGTAATTAGTTTCTACGATCATCCTAACATGTGGTTGCAATGCTTAGCAGCTGTAACGTGAGAGTAGCAGCAACAGATCTTATGGAGGTACTTAAGAGCTACAGTACAGTAGCGCTTCACCCCCACACAGTCTACTATTGTACAGCGAGGATACTTTGGAAAACTTACTTCTGGCGAGGCCTGGAGCGTTACCGATGTATAAATCCGGGTCGAGGTGCAGGTAGTGAACCTCTCCTGGCACGGTGAGTGTCTCCTCGTGCTTCCCGTCAAGGTAGATCTGTGTTGGGACCATTGAGTTAAGTCTTACTGCGTAACTTATAATCAATTTTGTTTTTTTATTTTGTTTTTTCACGCAATAGTAATAGGGAGGGAAACATATGTTTCTACAACGCCTTAATAACATATAGAGTACATATAAGGTATATATATATATATATATATATATATATATATATATATATATATATATATATATATATATATATATATATATATATATATATATATATACTATATAATGTATGTGTGTGCTTGGGAAATGAAATAGAATTACTTTGTGTTACCTCCATATACAAATAACAGCTGCCTCTCTGAAGGACCCACCTGGAGCTGGTCGTGTTGGTGGATGATGGTGAGGAGAAACCACAATCCAGAGTCTAAGCCCTCTCCTATCTCAGTCCCCACCTTCCCTCCACCGAAGTCAGCCTCAACGTAGACGCGGCCGGAGGCAGTAAGGGTAGCGCCCATGTACTGTTTCTCCGGGTGCTCGGCCGAGGCGTAGAACAGGATGGAGTCACCGAACCTGGACTGTAGGTTAAAGGAAAAGGTGGTAGAGTTGGAGATTCTGACTGTGTGTTTACCTGATTATCTAAATACATATTGTTTTCTCTTCAGGTGTTTCACCATTCTTGCTATGAGGCTCCATCAGCCCCCCCCCCCCTCCCACCTTACCCCCATAACCCATAACCCGGATTGACCTTGAACTCGAGGGAGATAAAGTTGTTGGAGGAATGGACGCGATCCATCCACTCGTAGAGGCGGTGCACCACATAGCCGTCATTGTTCAGGGTTAACACTGGCAGATCTGTGTAAGGGAGAAAACCACTGACATTCTCCTCACAGTAACAGATGTAGATTTTAAAGAAGAAATAATGGACCAGGGCAGCATTTTCCTGTATGTCGTCGTGTAAAGGATATAAGCAGTGGGTTTTATATTCTAACTACACAGTACAGAGTTATATTTAAGTAGTTTATAGTAAGATAAATTTATATAAGGCGACAACGCAAAATAAAAAGAAGATTGGAAGTGTTAAAGGAAGTCAAATAAAGTATACATATATTCGTATATCAGTCACAGTCGCCAATGCACATAAATATTATCAGCACAATTTCAAGATAATTAAAATCACTTGAGAAAAAAAAAAATATGAAAACTAAAAAAATAATAATATTAAAAGATAACGAATATAATCATACTCAACAAGTAAGGAAATTAATTTATATATGACATATTTTAACGGAGGTTTGTGACTCGTGACAAGAAATCTATTAAGTGGTTTTTTTTCTTCAAACAAACTTCTGAGTCCGCACAACACAAATCACATCACATTATGGAACAAAATAAAAAGAAAAAGAGGAAAGAAACGGGGAGAATAGCGAAGAAGAAAAAAGAAAGAAGGAAATAGAAGAAGGAAAGAAATAAGAAGTAAGAAGAAGCAAGAGAGATGACGATAAAATAAAGAAGGACGAAGATAAAAGAAAGAAGAGCTTAGGACGCACCTGGGTTGGAACAGCGCCTGCCGTCCTGTCCACTGTTGAAGCATTTGCAGGTGCTGTGGTCGAAGTGCTCCACACACTGGGAGGATGGCGAACACAGGTTACGGTGGCGGTCATGACAGCTGTGAGTAGAGTGAGGGTGTTAGACGCGTCGAGTGAGTGTATGTGTGTGTGTGTGTGTGTGTGTGTGTGTGTGTGTGTGTGCCAAAGACAGGAGGTAGTGCACGAAGATTCCCTATGCCACCCGCACCTCCCTATCAATTTTTTAGCTATCTTCAGAACTTCGTCTCTTTCTCTGACTCTGTCTTCTCTTTCTGTGGTTGTCTTTTATATCTCTTTTTCTCAGACTATCTCTTATCTCTATCTTTCTCTAATTTTGTTCCCCCATTCTTCCTCATTCTTTCTCAATATATGTCCCTCTTAATATCTGTCTCTCTCTCTCTCTCTCTCTCTCTCTCTCTCTCTCTCATACTATCTAAACCTTCTGCCTTACTTGTCGCCGCAGTGTTCCCTCACGCCGAAGTGCTTGGAGGTGAAAAGGGGCTTGACGTATGCCATGTCCTCGGAGGTCACCCCACTCAACACACTCACGTCCCGTAGACACCCGTGGTAAGGCAGGAACCCCGCCACAGCATCCTCCTTCTCTAGATCTCCCTTGTACACACCTGAAACATCCCAGTGAAAAGCTTTAAAATATTAGATACCACGGTAGTTTATCGTTACCTGTTACACTGTCTTTTGTAACCTACGGCTCTGATGGTCACTTCTCTCTTTTTCTTCCGCTTTTTTTAAAATTTATATACATGGTCTTGGTTCGATTCCTGACGTGAGAGGAGGATTGGGTTCCCTCCTCTCTGTACAGTTGATCAGTTACACTCAGCAGTAAATGCGTACAGTCGGGTGATCTTGTCGATGATGGAAGAGCCTTTTTGTGAACTAACGCCCTGTCACCAGGAATATGAGTAAATTTACACTTTCATTCCTTCATTAATTCTTACTTTCACCTTTCTACCAAGAGAATACTGAACAAATATAACAGCTTTACACATCCTTCTTTCATTAGAAGCCTGTTTTTCTCTGGCTAGCTGACTCTAAAACATGTTCCAATTTCCCTATATAAAAATTCTGATTAGCTCCTGACTATGTCCCATTTATGTCATACAGTTTAGATACTTGGTGCATCACTCTTCTGTCTACTCTATCGTCTGCTATTCTCCAGGTAATTATGTTATTTGTAAGAGATACCTGTGCTGCAGATCTTTTCCCTTTTTGTTTTTGTTTCAGTTCTCTCAATAAAAGCTTTTATTTGTTCTTTTGTTAATGCTTCTGATTAGTAACAGAATACAAGCAGAGGTTATCAGTACCATTTCCCGGAATTAGGATGGGAATTTTCGTGAAGCCCTGAGCTGTAACAATAACACACACACACACACACACACACACACACACACACACACACACACACACACACACACACACACACACACACACACACAGTATATTACAGGGGGACACATACCACCGATCCATAGTCTAGAAGAGAACCCGTGGAGAGCGTTGCCGCTGGTGTAGCTCGGGAAGTTCACGAGGCTGTTGATAGTGAAGTCCTCCTGGCTGGCGTCCACCTCCATTATCAGGTGTCCCCTTGTAGCGTCCACCATTACCAAAGCGTTGTGCCAGCTCCCTTCCTGCAGTCCACCTACAAGTTCATCAATTGTGAGGGAAATAGACATTAATTAATGATAGTTATTAATCAGAGTCCATGAATTAAAGTGTAATTATCGAATAATTATGTGTCCAATATATATAACCCTCAGAATTATTTAGAATCAAAGATAGACAATAAACTAAATATGCATAATCACAAAATAAAATATCCATTAGTGTAAACAAAATTAATATAGTGTAAAGTATTTAATAATTAGAGGTTATATGATCAAAACTTTTCCTTCCATCCGAAATAACTAACCGAAGTGCAGCTGGACAGAAAGTAAACGTCTTCCTATTTTCAATATAAAGCAATTGATGAAGCCTGATCATACAGTATCACTTAATTAGCCGGGAGTAAAACAATAAAATGCTTCACAGTTCTTTTCCCTGGAGAGATCACTTGATTTCTTATTGTCTAGAATTTCCACATTTCTTGAACCACATGTCTTGTACGTCGGGGTCCAGACGACTTGTACTTCCCAATCTAGAATACCAGTACCTACCAGTCCAAACGACCTTGTACTTCCTAGTCCGGAATACCGTTACTTCCTGGTTAAGAAGACCTGTACTTCCATAGCGCATCACAGCCACTCACCTTTATTCATGATGAACGTCTCAGAATTGTTACCGAAGACGTGGGTGAGGGAGAGGTGACCCCTCTTGAGGTAAATGTAGAGCTGGATCCTCGTCCCTTGCAGCTCGGGAGGCACCGTCACCTAATGAAAGGTGGGGAAACATAAGAATGAAATTGTTACAACTAACTTAGTTTTAAATGAATGCGAAAATTCAGCATAGTTCTTCTCCCTCTAGTCTTTGTTGTGCTGTTATGAGACCAACGCTATAAACTTACTTGACAACGAATTTTGATTAATACTATACAGTACTAGGCCTATACAGTGTTTGTCTTTATCCACACAACGGCGTGAGATATTTCCACTAAATACCATATTATTTTCTCAACACATTACATCACGAAGTTGTACACAGGCCAAGCAAATTTAAAAAAATTAACATCGCTATTGCCCCGTAACCGATGTGTTTGACCTATGGTGCCAGGGCCGGTACAAGCTAAAGTAAACTATGTCAGAGAAACTTAGCCCCACCATCACCCTGCAGTAACCCTGTTTTATGGTATTACTTGCATATGATCTGCCTGTCATAGAAGGAAGAAGGGCATGCAATACCTGACGTAGGAAGGCGATGAGTCCGTGCGGAGAGTCGGTCCTGAAGTCGAACTCAAACTGATAGATATTGCTGGAGTGGAAGAAAGTGTATTAGCGTACCTCACACACACATATGCGAAATAACAATAGCTGCAATATATTTTTCTAACTTCAGGTTGGACAAAGACAATTACAGTATGTAGATAGTTGCAATACATTATAAATGCATAGCTTTATACATAACATAACCTAACCTACCTTAGTTATAATTTGGCTATTTTATGAAGGTAAACGACGTCCTAAATGAAACAGGGAAAATCTAACCAAACACGATTTAATTTCCAGTAAGTTATAACATCTACACATGAATGCACATTAAAATAAATCAACATTAAGAAGCGTTGTTTCACACGCCAGGAAACTTACTTGATAGAGAACTGTGTGAGCGCCTGATCGTCGACTCTGGCGGCGGCGTTGTTGCCGACAAAGGTGAGGGTGGAGACTGAGGTGCCGCCTTTGAGTGCCAGGTAGTTCTTCTCTGACACACTGCCTCGCACCGCATGTGAGTGTTCTGCAGGGGAGCAACACTCAAATGACACATTCACAGATTATCCTTTTTTCTTTTCTTTTTTAATGAGGATAAGACAACTTACTAAATCACCCAATAGTCTGAGAACAATTTGTACCCTATTTTGGCTATTATCTACCCGTGTGTGTTTAAGTGAGGTATTATTAAAACCAGGGCCACTTATCAAAGCACAAGGAATTTAAGTACTGTCATACTCAAACTTTTACATATTGAGTTAATAATACTCTCTATGCATTAAAACTAGTCATACACATGGAGTAACACTTACTGGTGAGATGGGCGGGGTAACACTTAGCATAGCAGTCGGCAGCAGTCTTGTATATGTTCTTGTTACCGCGACACCCACCGTACACGAAATTGCGGCAGGTCTTGGAGGCCGGGTCAAAGTAAAACTTAGGGAAGTGGCCGCGACACAGTTCCGTATCAGGAGGATGGGTGCAGCTCTCTGTGGACGATCCCAACCACACTGTTAGTTGGGGAGATGGTGATAGGGTACGGGAAGGTGGTGTTGTGTTGTGGTGGTGTTGTGTGGTCATAAAGGTGATATTGTGCCATTGTGTTGGAGTTGGAAGTGTTGTATTGGTGCTGAGTGAGCGTTGAGTTTTAGTGGTGTTGTGTAGGCTTTGAGATGTTTTAGTGGTGTTCTGTGGGCGTGGATATGTTGTAGTGGTGTTTTGTGGGCGTGGAGGTGTTGTAGTTTTGTTGTGTAGTGGGTGTGGAGATGTTGTAGTGGTGTTGTGTGGGCGTGGAGGTGTTGTAGTTTTGTTGTGTAGTGGGTGTGGAGATGTTGTAGTGGTGTTGTGTGGGCGTGGAGGTGTTGTAGTGGTGTTGTGTGGGCGTGGAGGAGTTGTAGTGGTGTTGGGTGGGCGTGGAGATGTTGTAGTGGTGTTGTGTGGGCGTGGTGGTGTTGTAGTGGTGTCGTGTGGGCGTGGAGGTGTTGTAGTGGTGTTGTGTGGGCGTGGAGATGTTGTAGTGTTGTGTGGGCGTGGAGGTGTTGTGGACATGAACAGATATTGATGTTAGCAAGATGGAGGTGCTGTGGGCGGGTAGGAAAGCCTAGATTTTTTTTTCATGGACATCCTGCATGGAGAACTTATCTATAACTGCCATGAAACCAGACAAACAGATGTTTCAGCTTTTAACAGAATCGTTCAGGAGTGAAATTTATGCGAGAAGTTGAAACTCCAATAACATCATAATCTTTGTCCGAGATATATGGTTTCCTCTCTCTCACATACAAATTACATGAGTGAGCCAATGGGTACTGATTTTGAGAACTTCTAGAGAACTAGAGAACCACTAATCCAGTTATTCCAATGTGTTACCTGCTTAAATTTGAGATTAAATTCTCCTTCGCTGCTAGTTCTCTTCTTTCTTGCCAAGGCTCTCCAGACAAGAGAAAATGAGAAAATTCCATGCAATATAAGACCCTCATAAGATTTAAAGTCCAGAGAAAATAAAATCAAAATCTGTTACATTGCATTTAGTGTTCTCAGATAAATCATGAGAAAAAACACGCGGATGCTTAACTCCTTCAATTTTTACTTTATTCTATGTTCACCCTTTTAACCACACTTCGTCCTGAATCTCTAAATTACGTACAATGAAAATTTCGTTCCCTTTAAAACATCACGCTATGTCGCTCTAAAGAGCAAGAAGAGGAGGAACACGTACTTCTCTTCACGACACTATAGGCAACAAAGGCTGCACATTTACCTTCGAGTCCCAGAGAAAAAAAAAAATCAGCTCTCTTGATGTTGTCCCTAAAGGCTCATTGACTCCTGGGTCTTAGCACACTAGCGCGAAGACTTCACAGTATCTCTTGTCACTTTGGCGTTGCAGTAAAATTAAAGTAAGAATTGTTTGAATAAATCCCTTAAATTAGAACGACGATAAAGAGACACCTTTTCTTCTTTCATTAATTACGGTTCACACTCCGGCCCGCCAGTTACCCATAAAACAACTTACATGTGGTCTAGTCATCAAGTTCTAATTAAACCCAATTGCATAGGTTCGAATCTACAATTTCATCAGGAATTTCAATCACAACACCTATAAAAATAAGCAGGATGTAGGAGTTCGAGATAGGAAGGTGTAGGAAGATAATACTCACCATCAAGATTTAGCAGGATGTTTTCTTTAGGAGGATGATCAGTTCTAGCTGACTCAGAGGCTACAGATCCTTCAGTGGCATTATTCTCTGTTCTTTTAGTAGGTTCCGTGCCAGGTTCAAGGTCGATTGATTTTTCAACATCAGTGGAGTTTTCAGGTTCAATAACAAGGTTAATTCTAGGAGAAATTTTAGGTATAGATGAAGGTTCAGATTCAACAGGAGTTTCAAGACCGACAGATAGGGATGGGCCAACAGGAGCTTCGAGCTCAGTAGGAGATTCAGGATCAACTGAGAGAGCAGGTTCAGCGAGGATGGGTTCCACAAGGACTTCAGCTTCAGCAGGAACCAGAACCTCATCCCCTGCAGGTGTGTCCACGTTTGATGGCGACATGGCGTCTGTATCTCCAGCGGGAGGCCGACCCGCGTCCTCTACAGAGTCTTCAGCAGACCCAGGAACTGCCTCGGCAGGATCTAATTCATTGTCAGTGTTAACACCTGGCTCATCCAGATGAAGAGAGAAAAGTCTCCATGGGTAGTATGAAGCAAGCACCAGGCGAAGAGAGCAGGTTACGGAGACAATAAGAAATATAATCACTGCAGAAAGCCAAGTATTCGGCACGCGTATTAATAACAGGAGTAACTTCCTGTTACACGTTAGCGAAATAAAAGAAAAAAGCTGTTACGAAAAGCGAGCCACCACCTGTGCAAATTAACTTGATAGTTTTGATCAACAAACGAAATAGTGATTATCTTGGGTAATGCATGAACAACATAACAAGACAGACCTACCAAGCCCTGAAAGCAGATCAAGACCATGCACTGTAAACTGCACAACAAATTGCTCATAATTATTTACATCTTGTACATATTTAAATAGCGAGTATATATATATATATATATATATATATATATATATATATATATATATATATATATATATATATATATATATATATATATATATATATATATATATATATATATATATATATATATATATATATATATATATATATATATATATATATATATATATATACGATGGCTTGAGGTTATGCAACAAAGCGAACTGTTATAATGATGGTAAAGGACTAAAAATATAAATAATAAATAGGTAATCACACTGTTGCAAAAAGGCAGAATTGCATCATTTGCAATGGGAATCAGTTAGCAAGCAGGAAAAGTTAGTGACATGTTAATTTGATAGATTTATGTAAACACTTCTAAAAAGAATGAATCAGTTTAAAGTTTTATGAATATCAAGCAAATTTAATAATAATTTAAGAACTACATAGTTTTAGATGAGAGTTTTATGTCCAAATATGTTATATATGTGAACTATGAGTCCAAGGTATATACGAGTCAATAACATGCAAATAAAATGACTTTATATTATGATGCATTTCAAAGTTGTCTCGACATGCGTTACCAGTGACTGTCTATAAATATCAGTGCATTCAAGTAAATGTGAACAACAAAAACTAGCTTAAACTGTATCACTATGTATCTTTAAAAATTAAGAACACGAATAAGTATGAAATAGAGCAAACATTTATAGTTTATTTTACTTATTCTCAGGTATAGCCTAAATATTAACCTCCTTGCGACAGAAAAAAAAATTGTTTGTATGGTTACGCACTCCAGTCTGCGGCATATAAGTAGGTCAGTAACTTAATTGGAGTAAGAACATTTAAAGCAAACAAATTATGGAAGAGAACGTCTTATGCTTGAAGTCCCAGGGAGGAGTATGAACTGTAGCCTAAATTAGGTTAATAGAAGGACTCGTCTTAGTAATATTCGCGTTTGATAATACTCACCAGGTATAGCAGGAGGCGAGTCTACGGCGGCACCAACAAGGACCTCTCCTTCAGCGGGTGCGGGCAGAGATTCTCCAAGTGGTTCATCAAGCTTCACCTCAGTCTCCGTGTCTGTAGGAATCTCAGCCTCTGTTTTTGGGTCAACTGCCGGTTCTGATCCTCCATTTATTGCCTCGGGTTTAGTGTCAGCAGCATAGTTATCGTCATAATAGTCACTCTGGGGTAGTGGGCTAGTGGTAACCAGGTGGGCAAGAAGACCCAGCCCCAGCAGCAAGAGCCCAGGCCACACCTGTAGGCAAAGAAGACAATAAAGTGTCAACACCTGGTCATTAAACATGGGCTACAGTATGTTCTTGGTATCTAGAGGAGCAGTTAGCTACATTATGTAACGATTTTCTTGTTTATATTGTTCCTTCTGTGTATATTTCTCCATTTCTTCATCTCTCTCTCTCTCTCTCTCTCTCCTTCCCCCCCCCCCTTTATTATCTTTTATCTGTATTTACGTATATTTCTATATTTCAATCGTTCTACATTTCATTCTTTTTTTTCATAATAGAGATGACGTTGCTTCAGTATTCCAAAAACAGAGTCCAGTCTTAGCTTTAACCATATCATCCTGGGATATTTACTAGAGCTGAAGTGTATCAAAATGACCGCCTCTTATTCTGGCAGACAATCTTGCTCCCGTGAACTATAAACGTCACTCCACGACCACCTCTTCCTATGCGTTATAACTCTGTCTTAAAATATCTTCGGGATAAACTGGGATAAGATTACACAATCCAAAAAAAAACTTACCTTTTTTCAGGTTATCTAAGTACAAGACTATAACTTATGATAACGCTGAAAGGAGATTAGAGTGTGTTGATAAGACAAACGAGTGTGTTTGTGTGTTATCACTTTGGCGGTGAGATTGACGCTACGTTGCATCCTGTGCATTTTCTACCGTTCATTAGGGGCTTGTGGGTCAATTACAAAGATATTCAACATTGCTAACCTACCTACAGTCCTCAGATAATTAAAATAGAGGACAGGAAAAAAAATTGTAAAACAGAAGTGTGGATCCACATGTAATTGGCTGCATTTACCAGCATTTTTCTCCCTTAATTTTTCACCGCTCCATTCACCTTGTTTTTACCAAAGATGAAGAGGACCCTCTTGACTGTTATCATGGATATAGCGTTTATCACACTCACTAATGCACAGGTCAGGATGCATAGGAAAAAGACCAGGTTGATCCCATATTTACCCCGTTTATGCTTTTGATAATACAACCAAGGGATGATACACTACTGTCGGTGGAACAGAAATAAGTGATTATGACACGTAAACAAATCCAAATATAATATATATTTTTTTTTATATTCAACTTTAATTTCTAATAATCTTTTTCAACTCTATTGCTTGAACAAAATAGACCGAAGTATGTATCATATTACCACGACAACATAGTGACCCCAATGGCAACATAATAACCGCTATGTCAACAGAGTGACCACCGTGACAACATAGTAACTACCGTAACAACATACTGGATCAGTGACAACAATAAGAGAAAGTTAATTAATTCGGGCCAGCGAGGTGGAACATAACAGAGAGCTGGGTGAGTCTGAGAATACATTGAGGTGTGTTGAGCGTATGGCTGCCCTACCTGGTACCAGTCCAGCTTAACTTATCCCACATACCAATATGTACAGTATATTAATGTTCAACCCGGGCGCTTTAACACAGAAACAAATCATCAATTAACTTAAATCATTTTTTTTAATTTCAACTCTGAAAAAAAAGGAAATCATAAATAATAAAATTATCACAAAATTATCATCTGTAGTTTATTAATATATCAATGATCCCATAACAGGAGTTCATGGGGATAACGTCATTGTTTTTATAGTGAATTACATAAATGGAAGAAATTAGAACACCTGTATGTACAAAAATATATAAAATACCGTTCACAAAAAATTTGGATTAATATAGGTTCACGAGTTAACTATTGTCAAATTAAAGGATCTAAATTATTTCACACGTAGGAAAAGAGGATGGGAAACAGTCTTGTTAGGGATGATCAAAAGTGTGGTGTTAAAGAAAATGAAACAAAATAAATACACAATTAATTTAGACAGTTGAAGGAAGGTAGGACAAATTTAATTAAACAAACCTAATGCTAACCTGACCTGACCTGACCTAACCTAACCTAACGTAACCTAACCTAACCCTACCCCCAAACAATTCGATATAGGGAGCGCGTCAAGAAACAGTGACGATAAAGAAGTAAAATGGGAAACAACATGGAGAAACAGAGAAAAAATACCATTAGTGTTCTAGAGTTTCGTAGATTTGATTATAATGGATTAAGAAGAAGCTTAAGAGGATTGGTGACTACTGTAGGTGTAGATAACTTGACCTTAAAGGCATACATGACCTCTCCAGAAGTAACCACACTTGGGGGAAATGATACTATGAGCATATTTCAGAATAAATGACTTTATAAATCACTAGATTATCATTATACGAGGTACTCTATACTTTTGTGATATTATACCGTCAGGCTCATCAGTTCTTATGTAATCAAGATGGAGTTCACGACACAGAATATCAGATTCTGAGAGAAGAAGTTGTAAAAGATGAACATAAGTCACCCATGATTCCTGCACTTCATATCTTATCTCAGCACTGGCAGGGAGACCAAGCGAGAGTGTACAATAACTTTATATTTCAACACCAGGATTGATGCAGAGATAATGAACCCAACGGTGGTACTGTGTTTCCTGTAAGCCACTGAAATAAATAGATATAATTCAATCCTGATACAATATTTTGGACCAGGAAAACCCAACATACTAGTCTGAAACTAATACCCTCGCAGTCACATTCACAGTCACCTCATGATCACCCTCACCAACTGACACGCCTCATTTCACGTTCTCATTTCCATCTACACCGTCTCATTAACTTGTTCCCTCCTCTATCACTTAATCACTCAGGTGTAGTATGACTGTAAACATCCTGTCTACTGAAATAGTTCTTTTTAGCCAAGGTTTATTGAGGGTATATGTACTATGGCCAGATTTTTTCATATAAGTTTCTTCCATATAAATTGACACTCAGCCTATTCCTGCCTCCCATCACCACACACGGCACATTATCATCTTTATCGACCACCTGACTCCTACGAGGTTCACAATAAAATAATCGAAAAACACCATTTATTTTGTGTGTGTGTGTGTTTTTGCTTTCGTGAGTGAGAACAGCGTTGTGCAGTAGTTGTTGTTTTTGACTGTTTTTCCTGGTATTGTCTTACTTCAGGCACAAACATCCGGGACTAGATTAAAATGATGAAATAAAAGAACACGTGGTAAAACAATTTGTTGCGCCCTAACAGTGGTAAATGTTATCTTCCCTACCGTTCAGTTGAGTTAGTCCCAGATAGTTTCCTGCTTGTGGAACTTTTATCTGTACTTCCACTTGTCTGTTAACAAAATATATGTGTTAACTACTGCATTATTTTCATCTATAAAAGTCAAAAGTCACAAGGCAAAAAGTGTTCTCGTACGGTCATGCACGTAAACAAACTTTTGATCTAATTAAGAATGGAGATTTGGCGACCTACGAATGATGAAGAATGTGGTTACCGGCAGAGAACTCATGTTGATCTGCATCATTTCACTTGCTCTACATAACTCAGGCTGTTAACTAAAAGAACTTGACAAAACTACCATGTCTGTGTACACATCGCCATTGTCTGTTTGTCATCGTTAGGAACTATGTGTTAGGGTTCTCAGATTACTTGCCTCAGTTAGTTCAGTATATACACTTCTGATTACTATACATTGTTTATATGAGAGTTTGTGTTCATTTTATCCAACAGCTTTAAGCAGGCATCTCCATCCATGAGAGATCTATTGAGGAATTAATACTTTGAGAAATAAATTCATATAAGATCGGCAGGTGCTGGGAAAAATAATTCTCCCGCACGATTTTACTCTTTCTCATGTACTCTATGACCTGCAGTATCCCTCCGGCCGTCCCACTGATCCGCTCCCATGTGCTTTTATATATATCAATGCATAGCTTCACACAAAACCTGATTTAACCTATCCTAACCTAATCTTACTTAGGCATAAATTGGCTATCTTATGGTGGCAGACGATGCCTTAAGTTGAAAATAGCAAATTTTGATAAAGTAAAGGAATAAAAACTCAAAGTTGTCCCTATTTGGCAAAAACATCAGTTGCCTTTGAAGGCTTAAACGGCGTTGATGGTGAAGATGTGTAAAGGTGTTTCTGACAGTGACGCTTGTCCTCTACTTCCTGAAGTATCTATCTTTCTCATCTGGGAGAGAGAGAGAGAGAGAGAGAGAGAGAGAGAGAGAGAGAGAGAGAGAGAGAGAGAGAGAGAGAGATATCTACTAGCTAACTCCAGACCGAGAGATACGGAGACAGAGGCAAGAAGGTGATAAGCAACACAATATATGCTGGATAATCCTCCTTCCAACACCTTGTACTTAAAATCTAATTAAAGGATAACATTTACCTCGTAACCTTTAATACTTGGGCTTAATTGATATGAGTATAATGATGTAAGCACACAGAGGTGAATCGCCAAGCTCAACGTAACTGCTCACTGGTCGAGACACAGTTCATAATGTGTTGTAACTTAGAAAATATTGAACTTAATATTTCACTGCTATCTTTAGTAGTCATAAATTCAACATTATGCTTGACATGTTATAGAACCTTACGATTATCTTAAATTTTTATATACAAGCAGTTACCTTCTTGATATAAAAGTTCAAATAGTGTTAGTGTGTGTGTGTGTGTGTGTGTGTGTGTGTGTGTGTGTGTGTAAATATAAGCTAAGGTGTTCTCCAACTCCCCGAGAGATAACAAGAATGACAAAGTTTATGACCCCAGACAGTGATGGTTGGTTATGAAATATTCTTATGCACTCTAATACCTGATCCATATATACGACTGCTGCGGTAAGACGATCCTTTACGTTTTTGGATACGACCAGGCAATCCTGCACTCTGAAGGTGAACTCTGTACAACGTGAACCTCTACTCAGCGTATGTTCTATTGCCTCAAGAAGTTAGATGGTGAAAAAAAATGAGTTCATTCACGTTTTACACTGTTGTCGGAGGAGCATCTCTCTCTCTTACTATGGTAGCGTGGAAGTTATCTGCTTATCGTGTGTTCTTGTTGATAAAGCTGCCGTGTTGGCCAGCCGCAACCTCTCAACCGTCGCTTTGACCTACATCCAAACTGAGGGATAATCTTCGTCATG